ATTTGCATTGGGGTTTCTTCGATCTGAATTGTTTTATAGGCCTAAAGCTGCTCACGATAAGGAATGGAGGGAAGGGCGTACAAATAATTTCGTCTGGCAAGGAAATGTGAATCGTATTTTTGTTGCATTCTTATCCAATTTATCTTTGTTATTCCCTCGACCTTGTCCTTTTGATATTTCTCGCTTCCTCGAGGGTCGAGTCGTGCTTGAAATCGCTCGGGGTTGTTAGATATTCGGGTATTTTTCATCATCTTTATTTTATTTATTATTTTTTTTTTTTCGTTTCATCGTCATCGTTATCATTATCATTGCCACTATGGTTATCATCATCAATATCGTCAGTGACATTTTGATGATTATTATCATTATCATCATCATCTTCATTATCATTATCATTATCGTCATCATCATCATTATCAATGACATTTTGATTGTCATTATCATCATCATCATCATCATCATTATCATCTCATTAATCATCATTCATCATCAATGACATTTTGATTGTCATTATCATCTTCATTTCATCATCATCATCATCATCATCATTATCATCATCATCATTATCACCAATAACATTTTGATTGTTATCATCATCATCATCATTATCTCCAATAACATTTTGATTGTTATCATCATTATCATCATCATCATAACCATTACCACCATTGTCACCCTCACCATCAACATCATCATCACTATTTTAATCTATACCCGCACTGAAACTATAAACACCATTATTTCAATGAGACTCGCAAGGTAACAATAACAAGAGTGAGAGTAAAAAAGGCCACAGGTGAAGGAAGATTGAAATAGCTTTATAAAAGGAAGATAAACGAGGAAGAGATTGTTGACGTGAGCTTTTTATTTATTATTTTTTTTTTCTCTCTCTCTCTTTTCCCTTTTCTTTCTTTTTGGCGGGGATTTAAAGTCCAAGTTTTGAGATGAGATGCGGAGGAACCACACTTGTTTTAGAGATTATGGGAGGGAAAGAGAGAGGAAGGAGGGAGGAGGGAGGGGAGAAGAGGAGGAGGGGAGGAAGAGACGAGAGGGGAGGGAGGGGGAGGGAGGGAGGTGGGGGAAGACGAGAAGCAAGGAGGGAGGGGAGGGAGGGAAGGGGGAGAAAGACGAGAGGAAGTAGGAGGGGGAGAGAGGGGAGAGGCTGAAGGACATAGGAGAAGGGGGAAAGTAGAACAAATATGAAAGAAGAGAGGAGGATGGAGAGAGAAATCGTGTATATTTTTTATCACTATTATCATTACCATTATGATATTTTTATAATGCTAATGATTGTAATAGATATCATTAAAATGTTTTTTTATTACTGTTATATTGTTGTTTTGTTGCAAATCTTATTATCATTATTATCGTCCTCATCATTCCATTGTTAACGTCATCATTATTATAGCGACTTCTACCAATGCCACCTCATTTATTCCTTCCACGTATCCTATTTTTTTCTTCCGGTTTTCAGTTATTCGGATATTTCTCGGGTCTTTTTGCGTATCCGATCGGGTGATAAATTTGGCAATGTGGAGTAAGTTCCCCGGAGGACGTGGTTCCAGCGGCCGGATACTGAGCAGGGAAGAGGATGAAGCGGAGGAGGGAGAAAAGGAGGAAATGGGAAGCGGGGAGGAGGGAGAAAAGGAGGAAGGAAGGAAGGGAAGGGAGGAGGGAGAGGGGGAGGGAGGGGAGAGGGGAGGGAGGAGGAGGAGGGATTGGGAGGGAGGGAGGGAGGGAGGGAGGGAGGGAGGGAGAGGGGATTGGGAGGGGAGGAGGGGAGGGGAGGGAGGAGGAGGAGGGAGGGGGAAGGGAGGAAGGGAGGAAGGGAGGAAGGGAGGAAGGAAGGAAGGAAGGAAGGAAGGAAGGAAGGAAGGAAGGAAGGAAGGAAGGAGGGAAGGAAGGAAGGAAGGAGGGAGGGAGGGAGGGAGGAGGGAGGGAGGGAGGGAGGAGGGAGAGAGGGGAGAAGGGAGAGAGGGAGAGGGGAGAGAGGAGAGAGGAGGAGAGAGAGAAGAGAGGAGAGAGAGAGAGAGAGAGGAGAGAGGAAGAGAGGGAGAGAGAGAGATGAGAGAGAGAGAGAGAGAGAGAGAGAGAGAGAGAGAGAGAGAGAGAGAGAGAGAGAGGAGAGAGTAGAGGAGAGAGAGAGAGAAGGGTCGAGAGGAATGGGAGGGAGGAGGAAGAAGGAAAGGAGGAAAGATGGGAGAGGAGGGTAGGAGAGGAGATAGGGGGAGAATAACAGGAGACGAGGAATGGGAGGCAGAAGGAAGAAGGAAGGAAGGGAGACGAGGGTAGGAGAGGGGATAGGAGGAGAAAAGGGTAGGAGGAAGTGGTAGGGTGAGATAATAAAAGATGGTGGAGGGGAGGCAGAAAGAAAGTAAAGGAGAGGTGGAAAAGTAATAGTAATTGAAGGGAAAAAGGAGGTAGGAGATGGGGAAGGAGAAGGAAAGAGGGGAATCCAAGAAGGAAAATAGAAGCATAAAATAAACCGAGACAAATATAGGCTGGTAAAAAAAAAAAAATAAATAAACAGGAGACGTTGTAAAAAGGCCGAATGAATTTAAAATGAAAGAGGAAAGTTTATGAGAAAGATGATAAGATAAAACGTTCGGAATGAGCGTGGGCGAAGAGACTAAGACGATGAGAAATGAGGTAAGATGTTGCCCCGAAAATCACGAGAGGAGGAGGGATTGTGAGGTGGGCGGCCTCATTCGACTGAAAGTGTATGTTTATGCATATGCATATGTGTCTGCTGTGTATTTATTGTATCTGTTTATGTACTCTCTCTCTCTCTATCTATTATCTCTCTCTCTCTCTCTCTCTCTCTCTGTCTCTCTCTCTCTCTCTCTATCTCTCTCTTCTCTCTCTCTTCCTCTCTCTCTCTCTTCTCTCTCTCCTCTCTCTCTCTCTCTCTCTCTCCCTCTCTCTCCTCTCTCTCTCTCTTCTCTCTCTCTTCCTCCCTCCCTCCCTCCCTTCCCTCCCTCTCTTCACTCTTTCACTCTCACTCTTTCACTCTTTCTCTCTCCTCTCTCTCTCTCTCTCTCTCTCTCTCTCTCTCTCTCTCTCTCTCTCTCTCTCTCTCTCTCTCTTCTCTCTCTCTCTCTCTCTCTCTCTCTCTCTCTCTCTCTCTCTCTCTCCCCCCTTATTCAAGGCTTCCCGAAAAGGGGGAATATGTGCATCTCAGAATGTACTTAAGGTCTTAAATCAATTTATTATATTGGATATAAAAGAGATATAGAATGGGACGGGAACCGCTGATGCAGATAGGCAGATAGATGGAGAGAGATTAATTATTTGCGCGTGTGTGTCTGATGCATGGCGATAAAAGTATTTATTAGCCGAGAGGCAATATCCCGTGTGTATGCAGTTCTCGGGAACAATTTCTGGCGGTTCGGGTTTGCGACGATATTACGCCCCGATATCCGGCAGATGACATTCGCCGCATGAGCAGGTTTCATGAGTGGCGGTTCCCTCCTGCCGCCGCGACGGGGCTCTTCGTCCAGTGCCACCTCGCGCGATTGTGCCGCAAGCCGGGGGGGGGGGGGGGGGGGGGGGGGGGCGGACGCCGTCTCCTCCGTAATTGCCGGCTTGATTTGCTTGATTCTTGGTGTGGTTTCATTCGGGGCCTTGATGTGGTGGTCATTCGAGGCTTGATTTGGCTTGATTTCGAGGCTTGTGGTTTCATTCGAGGCTTGATTGGCTTGATTCGAGGCTTGGTGTGGTTTCCATTCTGGGATTAGCATTCGGGGATTGATTTGGCTTGATTCGAGGCTTGATTTGGCTTGATGTGCGTTTCATTCGGGATTGATGTGGTTTCATTCGGGATTGATTTGCTTGATTCGAGGCTTGATTTGGCTTATGTGGTTTCATTCGGGATTGATGTGGTTTCATTCGGGGATTGATTTTGGCTTGATTCGAGGCTTGATTTTGATGTGGGTCGGGGATTGGTGGTTTCATTCTGGGATTGATGTGGTTTCAATTCTTGATTTGGCTTGATTCGAGGCTGATTTGGTGATGTGGTTTCATTCGGGGATTGATTTGGCTTGATTCGGAGGCTTGATGTGGTTTCATTCGGGATTGATGTGGTTTCATTCGGGGCTTGATTTGCTTTTGGCTTGATTTGGCTTGATGTGGTTTCATTCGGGATTGATGTGGTTTTCATTCGGGGATTGATTTGGTTTGATTCGAGGCTTGATTTGGCTTGATGTGGGTTTCATTCGGGGATTGATTTGGCTTGATTCGAGGCTTGATGTTTCATTCGGGGGATTGATTTGGCTTGATTCGAAGGCTTGATGTGTTTCATTCGAGGCTTGATTTGGCTTGCATTCGAGCTTGGGGTGGTTCTTTCATTGATAACATTCGGGGATTGATTTTGGGGATTGATTTGGCATTGTGGTTCATTCGGGGATTGATTCGAATTTGGCATTCGAGGGCTGATTTGGCTTGATGTGGTTTCATTCTTGATTTGGCTTGATTCGAGGGCTTGATTTGGCTGGTTTCATTCGGGATTGATTTGGCTTGATTCGAGCGTTTCATTCGGGGATTGATGTGGTTTCATTCGAGGCTTGATTTGGCTTGATTCGAGGCTTGATTTGGCTTGATGTGGTTTCATTCGGGGATTGATGTTGTTTCATTCGGGGATTGATTTGGCTTTTGATTCGAGGCTTGATTTGGCTTGATGTGGTTTCATTCGGGGATTGATTTGGCTTGATTCGGGCTTGATTGATGTGGATTGCTTGATTTGGCTTGATTCGAGGACTTGGTGTGTTTCATTCGGGGGCTTGATGTGGTTTCATTCGGGGCTTTGATTGGCTTGATTCGAGGCTTGGTTTCATTCGGGGGATTGATGTGGTTTCATCGGGGCTTGATTTGGGCGATTCGAGGCTTGATTTTGGCTTGATGTGGTTTCATTCGGGGATGATGTGGTTTCATTCGGGGATTGATTTGGCTTGATTCGAGCTTGATTTGGCTTGATGTGGTTTCATTCGAGGCTTGATGTGGTTTCATTCGAGGCTTGATTTGGCTTGATTCGAGGCTTGATTTGGCTTGATTCGAGGCTTGATTTGGCTTGATTCGAGGCTTGGTGTGGTTTCATTCGGGATTGATGTGGTTTCATTCGAGGCTTGATTTGGCTTGATTCGAGGCTTGATTGGCTGATGTGGTTTCATTCGGGATTGATTGTTTCATTCGGGGCTTGATTTGGCTGATCGAGGCTTGATTTGGCTTGATGTGGTTTCATTCGGGGATTTGTGGATTGATTTGGCTTGATTCGAGGCTTGATTTGGCTTGATGTGGTTTCATTCGGGGTTTGATGTGGTTTCATTCGAGGCTTGATGTGGTTGCATTCGAGGCTTGATTTGGTTTCATTCGAGGCTTGATGTGGCTTGATTCGAGCTTGGTGTGTGGTTTCATTCGGGGGATTGATGTGGTTTCATTCGGGGCTTGATTTGGGCTTGATTCGAGGCTTGATTTGGCTTGATTGGTTTCATTCGGGGCTTGGTGTGGTTTCAAAATTCGAGGCTTGATTTGGCTTGATTGGCTTGATTATTGGCTTGATTGCTTGTTTTGATTGCTTGATTTGGTTGAGTGTGGTTTCATTCGGGGCTTGATCTGGCTTGCGGTGCGGTTTGGGCAGAGAGGGAGAGGAGAGAGAGCGAGGGAAGGAAGGGAGGGATGGATGCTTTCTTTGGAGTTTTTGTTTGTTCGTTTGGAGAATATTGGGGTAAGGTGTTGGTCGTTTAGGGAGGAAATTGGGTAAGGTGCTGGTCGTTTAGGATTTTCTCTTTGATTTTGAAGGTATCGGCTTTATATTATACTGTATGTTTTTCCTTGTTTTCTCACTCTTTCCGCTCTCGCTTTTACGTTCTCCCTCTCCCATCTCTTCTCTCTTCTCTCTCACTCACTCTTTCACACACTCTCACTCTCACTCTTTCACACACACACACACACACACACACACACACTCACTCTCTCTCTCTCTCTCTCTCTCTCTCTCTCTCTCTCTCTCTCTCTCTCTCTCTCTCTCTCTCTCTCTCTCTCTCTCTCTCTCTCTTCTCTGCTCTCTCTCTCTCTCCCCTGTCCTTTCTTTCCACTCTCTGTCCTTCTCTCCTCTCTCTCCACACTCTCCTCTCTCTCTCTCTCTCTCTCTTTTCTCTCTCTCCCTTCTTTCCCTCTTCCCATTCCTCCCTCAGACGTGAACGCCACAAAAAAGTAAACAAGAAAGAAGGTTCTCCGCTACCCTCAATAGGCCCCAATTTCTCACCTTCACGCGACTGTTACCGCCCTCCCACTTTTTCTTCTTCTTTTCCTTCTCTCCCTCTCTCCTCCTTTCTTACTCTATCCCTCCCACTTCCCACCTTAGCCCACCCCGTTCCTTCTCTCCATCCTCCTTTCCCCCTGTTCTCTCTTTTTTCTCTCACTCCTCTCTTACTCGCCTTCTCATCCCTCCCATCTCTCTCCCTTCCTTCTCGTTCTCTCTATCTCCTTTCTATCCCTCTTAAGTCCCTCCTTCCTCCCTCTTTCCCTCCAGCCTTCTCCCTTATCTCCCTGCCCCTCGCCCGCCGCCCCTACAGGCATGCGGTCAACGAAACAAAAGGTATTTCCTGTCATTTTTTTCACATTCTTATTTTTTATTGGATCTAATTACAGAGATTGCGTATGATCGATTAAGATGTAATTGGGAGTCCCGGGCCGTCGGCAGGCCATAGCGGGGGGGGGGGTTGAATGGTCTTAAATGGGAGTTAATTGTTGTCTTTTTTTCGAAAGTTGTATCAACCCAGTAGGTCGAGCGAGGCGGGGGGGGGGGTGTCCTCCCTGCCCTAAATGCATATTTCCTTCGTTTCTCATTGTTTCCATCTTCGTCTTTGTTGTTATTAGCTGTTATTAGTTATTATTGTTATGATATTTCCTTCGTTTCTCATTGTTTCCATCTTCGTCTTTGTTGTTATTAGCTGTTATTAGTTATTATTGTTATGATTATGATTATTATGGTTATTGATGTATTTTGTGTGGCTTCCTGTTTGTTTTTTTATTAGGTTTGCCCTTTTAAAGTCACAGTATCATTAACAGATAGTTGGTCGATGTTAGGAAGAATATGTGCAACGAAACCAAAGTGCTGATATAACGAGAAATATCAATAAAAATGATTTGAGTGAATACTTTGACTTCGAAAATGTATGTTCTGAGGAATTTTCTAAATACTTCTTTGGGCGAAATTCATATAGTTTAATATCCAGTAGACTTACGAAGACATGTAAAGGAAAGCAAACCATTCACTATATCATCCATCTGCCACTACATTATCTCTGTCATACGACAATTTCATGAGTTGCTATCTTGCCTAACGCATTTAATTATATATCTTGTTTTCGGCACTATCTGCGTCACTATATCAGTGTGTCGGAGCATGTGAAAAGACCCTATGCCTCCCTGACGTTACCGAGATAATTGATCATTATGCTTATCATGATAATGACGTTGACAAACAGCAGCAAATCCTTAGTTTTCGTTCCTGTGTTTTAAATGCATTATTAATATTATGTGAGGCAGCGGAAAATTAATTCAGCGGCGGGGGCTCGTTATTTTGTTGTGTGTTCGTCTTTTGATGTCCATTCACCTGGCCCGCTTTTTTTGTGCTTGTTAAAGGAACGTCATGGGAATGAATATGGAACTGAGTTATGCGCGCAAGTAACTGTGTGCGAGTGTTTGTTTGTTTGTTTGTGTGCGTGGAGGGGTGTGTTGTGTGTGTGTGTGTGTGTGTGTGTGTGTGTGTGTGTGTGGTGGTGTGTGTGTGTGTGTGTGTGTGTGTGTGTGTGTGTGTGTGTGTGTGTGTGTGTGTGGTGTGTGTGTGTGTGTGTGTGTGTGTGTGTGTGTGTGTGTGTGTGTGTGTGTGTGTGTGTGTGTGTGTGTGTGTGTGTGTGTGTGTGTGTGTGTGTTTGTTTTCCTTACACACAAAGAATACACATAATTTTGTATTAGATTTTTCCTTGCATTAATTTCACTATGTACTGTAACTCGAATTGGCTTCTTATTTCATTTCTGTTGGGCGATGTATGATAATTATCATTTCCACTTGAACTAGAGGCGATACTGGCAAAAAACAATTCTAATGGTAATAACAATAGCAATAATAATCTCCTATAACTCATGAATATTGCTGTCCTTATTACCATTGTTCTCATTAGCTTAGTGCAATCATTATTATCATCATTATTTTCATGATCGCATTGGGCTGGCTTTCACCACGCGCCGGGGCTTTCATATCAAAAGAATTCTATTTTGTTGCGAAGAATCATGGCTGGGAACGGGAGTCTTTGAAGTCGCAGTTGAAAGTCAATTTTGGGAGTATAAACTTTTTTTTACCCTTCTCTCTCTCTCTCTTTCTCTCTCTCTTTCTCTTTTCTTTTCTTTTTCTTTTCTTTCTTTTTCTTTTTCTTTTTCTTTCTTTCTTTTTCTTTTTCTCTTTTCTCTTTCTCTCTCTCTCTTTCTCTTTCTTTTTTCTTTCTCTCTCCCTTTCTCTTTTACTTTCCTCTTCCACTCCTCTTTCTCTCTCTCTCTCTCTCTCTCTCTCTCTCTCTCTCTCTCTCTCTCTCTCTCTCTCCTCTCTCTCTCTCTCTCTCTCTCTCCTCTCTCTCTCTCTCTTCTCCTTCTCCTTCTCCTTTCTCTCTTTACTTTCGCTCTCTTCTCTCTCTCTCTCTCTGTCTCTCTCTCTCTCTCTCTCTCTCTCTCTTCTCTCTCTCTCTCTCTCTCTCTCTCTCTCTCTCTCTCTCTCTCTCTCTCTCTCTCTCTCTCTCTCTCTCTCTCTCTTTCTCTTTCTCTCTCTCTATCCACATTTTTTCTCTTTCTTGAAGGAACAGGAAGTCTCTCTGTTGGAGCCAAATCATCAGTCATGTTGAACCTTTGCTGCCTCGGGCGCTCCCGGCAACATGAATTATGATGATTTATTTATTATCTTTATTTTTCTATTATCCGTTATTATTTATATTGCTGTTCTTATTATTATCACTGCTATTATTACTTTTATTGTTATTGTTATCATTGTTATTATGATTTTATTATCTTATCATCGCCATTATTTTATTACTATTAATGTTAATATTATTGATTATATTTTTTCTGTTTTATTACTATTATTATTTGCTTTTTTCTCTATATTTGTTTTGTTTCGTTTTTCTTCAGTTCCTTCTTTGTTATTATTGGTGTTGTTGTTGTATTGTTATTATCAATATTATTACTATCAATATTATTATTATGATCATTGTTTTTTATCATTATTATCAAAATCAAATTGTCATCATTGTTATTATTATTATGATATTATATTGTTGTATTATATTAATATTATTATTGTTATTATTATAATATTATTACTATTCCCATTACTATTATTATTACTTTTATTAGTATTTAGTTGGTTTTCCAGTTGCTGTCGTCCAGTGTTTTTTTTTCTCTCTCTCTCTTTTGTTTTGTTCTTTCTTTACTTTCAGTTCCTTCTTTGTTTCCTGTTTTTAATCTTCCTCGACTTCCTAGGTGTGTATACTTTTTTTTCCTTGTTAAACGTATTTAGTTTTCTATTCAAGTGTTCTTAATGTTTTTCTCTTTATTTCAGGTACGTCATCAAGTACAGGAGGAAGGAGAGTTAGGCGGGAGAAGAGATTAGGCTTCGTAAGGTATCAGGAATCAGGAATAATATGAATAAACAGTTATCATTATTAATTAAATCAGATCTCTTTTTAACTCATGGGACAGTTTAAATATTTTTTATTATTGGTTGTTATTCATTATTTCGTTATTGTTATTATAAGTATGATTGTTATCATTTGTTGTTTTCAGTAAATTACTCTTTTTCGCTCCTATTGTTGTTATTTATTATTATTTATTATTATTATTATTATTATTATTAGTTATTTGTTGATAGGTATTTTTATGTGTCATCCGTATATATAGTTTTGTATTGTTTTATAAATGATATAATTTTTTATGACTGCTTCCATCTCTTTCATATAAATATTATAATTTTCTGCAACTGCTTCCATTATTAAGCATTTTTTTGTTTGTCATTTTTTCTAAAACTTCCAGGCTGTTGTTACCTCCATTGCAAGCTTTTTCTTTGCCATTAAAGTTGCCGTATTATTATGTATTTTTTTCTTACTTTTTTCCGTCTTTTTTTGACTGCTGAAATGTCAAGACGGAATTTCTTATGATTTTCAGGCTTGTTGATCTCCCTGTTATTATTTCATAATGTGGATTGTCTGTTGTGTCTGTCGTTTTTATACACCTCGCTTTGTGTTCTGTTGTTCTTCTCGTTATTTTTGTCTGTTTCTTTTATCTATTTCGTCCTTTCTCTCCCTCCGCCCCTCTCTGCTCATCTCTCTCTCTCTCTCTCTCTCTCTCTCTCTCTCTCTCTCTCTCTCTCTCTCTCTTCTCGCTCCTTCTCTCTCTCTTCTCTCTCTCTCTCTCTCTCTCCTCTCTTCTCTCTCATCTCTCTCTTCTTTTTTCTCTCTCTTTTTTCTTTCTACGTGGACGTGTAATTTACTCCATAAAGTAATAATGTTTTATCTCCAGTGTTGTGTTTGTTTTAAGTGCGAATGTTTAATGTGTTTTATTATCCAGTAAGTTTATTTGTTTCTGTATTTGTTGTATTTATATTGAAGGGATGGTTAGTTAGTTTAGTCTGTTTGTTATGTATTTAAAGAGATATGTTTGCGAACCATTCCATTTAATAATGAATTAATGCACAGATCAAAGTGTTATGAAGCAGACTTTGGCGAAGTGTCAAAACATGGCGTGCATGATCGTGGTTTGATATTTAGTTTTGTATTAGTCTGTTTGTCAGGATCTTGCTTTTGAATTTGTTATCTACCCTTCCCAACGCTTGTAGGGAGAAAACGGCCGAAACTGCTCGGATGCTAGCCTTTGGTCTTTTTTTATTTATTTATTTTTTTCTCTCCTTCTCTCTCTCTCTCTCTTCTCTCTCTCTCTCTCTCTCTCTCTCTCTCTCTCTCTCTCTCTCTCTCTCTCTCTCTCTCTCTCTCTCTCTCTCTCTTCTCTCTCTCTCTCTCTCGCTCTTTACCTCTTCTTCCCTCTTCTCTCTCTCTTTCCCTCTTATCTCTCTCTCTCCTTTCTCTCTCTCTCTTCTTTCCCCCTCCTCTCTCTCTCTCTCTCTCCTCTCTCTCTCTCTCTCTTCTCTCTCTCTCTCTTCATCTCTCCTTCTCTCTCTCTCTCTCTCTCTCTCTCTCTCTCTCTCTCTCTCTCTCTCTCTCTCTCTCTCTTCTCTCTCTCCTCTCTCTCTCTCTCATCTCTCTCATATCCCATTTTATTACGGCAGCCGCAAGAGAGCTCGCTATATTTACCAAATGAAATTAGCAAGATTTATCCCAAATAATCACCGAGATTAAAGGGATAAAGCCTTGTAAACGGCCGTCAGGAGGGAACAAATGGCAGTTTTAAAAAGATCCATAAACATCCGTCTCAATTATATGATATTTTTTTTATTGCTCGGGCGTTGACATTTTTTTTTTTAATTATGTTTTTCTCCATTTTTTTCTTGTGGTTTTGATATTGGTGTTGTTGGATTGTTATGTTGTTGATGTTTTTATTGGTCTGTTTGTTTGATTATTTATTGGAATGTATAATTTTTCTTATTTCTCTCTTTTTTTAATGGTTTTGATATTGGTGTTTGTGTGAATTTGATTATGTTGGTTGATTTTATATTTGTATTTATATATTGGATTTTTTTTCCTTATTTCTCTCTATTTTTTCTTGCGTGATCTATGTCGCGATGGCAAGAGTAAACCCGAGAGAATGAGGGAAGCGAAAGACACAGCAAGAGAAAGGAAAATGTATATCTCGGAGGGCGCGAGATCTGGAACAACCTATCACAAAACTTTCGAAACGTATCCAATCTGATTTCTTTCAAAAGGAAATTAAAGGAGCGTCTTTTAAACTGTCATTGGCATCAGGTATTTAAGAGCGAAACTATGGACTTCTATTCCTAATGATGTGGCTGTCTTGTTTTGTTTTGTTTTATTCCTTGATTCTTCTACTAATGGACTTGATATTGTATCGACTTTAATCTGTATTGCTGTACGCTCTCTCTCTCTCTCTCTCTCTCTCTCTCTCTCTCTCTCTCTCTCTCTCTCTCTCTCTCTCTCTCTCTCTCTCTCTCTCTCTCTCTCTCTCTCTCTCTCTTTCTCTTTCTCTTCTTCTCTTCTCTCTCTCTCTCTCTCTCTCTCTCTCTCTCTCTCTCTCTCTCTCTCTCTCTCTCTCTCTCTCTCTCTCTCTCCCCTCTCCCTCTCTCTCTCCCTCTCCCTCTCCCTCTCTCCCCCTCTCTCCCTCCTCCTCCCTCCCTCCTCTCCCTCTCTCTCTCTCTCCTCTCTCTCTCTCTCTCTCTCTCTCTCTCTCTCTCTCTCTCTCTCTCTCTCTCTCTCTCTCTCTCTCTCTCTCTCTTCACTCCCACTCCCACTCCTTTCCTTTCCACTCATGGTCCCTTCCCATCCTCCCTCTCAAGCAACCTACACCAACGTATCCATCCATCATTTCTCGCCTTTCCTTTTTCTCTCCTCCCCTCCAATTCCCCCTTTCCCTATCCTTCTCTCCTCCCTTTCCACCCCCTTCCCCTCTCCCTATCCTTCTCTCCTCCCTTTCCACCTCCCATCCTTATTTCTCCTCCCTTTCCACCCCCTTCCCCTCTCCCTGTCCTTCTTTCCTCCCTTTCCACCTCCCATCCTTATTTTCTCCTCCCTTTCCACCCCCTTCCCCTCTCCCTGTCCTTCTCTCCTCCCTCCCCCCTTCCCCCCCTCCATTTTCAATTAACGCATGCATTTTACCACACCGTTGCTTTGTAAACTGGCGTCCGTTTTTTAAGTGCAATGGCCGGTGCTTGTGCATTTAATTTGTAAACTCATTGTTTGTTACATTTTCAGTGCATTTTCCTCAATGTCCTCTCTCTTTTATCCGAGCGAACATCATCGTGTAGTGGACTTGATTTTATTTTGCTTTTGATGTGTTAATTACGGAGGTATTTTCGGGCGGGTGTTTTTGTACGTCTGGTTATGGTATGTTAATGAGGGTCATTGAAAGCAGAAAGGGAAAATAGATAAATAAATGGGAAGGAAATCGGTAGAGGCAGTTAGAACCCAGGAAAAGGCGCGAACGAGGGAATGGTGATGATGTAGGGAATTGGTAGAAGAGATAGGAGAGTAACAGGCTGATAACAGATGGTGTTGTTACGTGGTTGTGCCTTAGCCTCGGTGGTGGTTGTGGTAGGTGGGTCAGCATTGATAGGGAGCAGGTATGTACCCGGGTGTGTGTGTGGGGGGGGGGGGGTTAATGTGGTTAATTAACATAGTAATTGTCACAGGTACCGTGTTAGGTAGTGTGGTATTTAGCTTGGACGCTGTGGTAGTTGGTGTAGGCAGAATGTGGTAGTTTAAATGTCGATTTTATTGTATTAGGCTAGTCGATGTGGTAGAAAAAAAACACGACAGTCAACCTAGGCATTTCATCAGGGGGCGTGGCAAGTCGAAAGAAATCGTTAATCCCAAAAGCCTTTGTGCAATCAAGTTTTTTTTTTTTTTTTTTTTTTTTTTTTTTTTTTTTTTTACGGTACGTACCAAAGCGTGGCATGATTTGCAAGTTGTATCATCACCACGGATCGATTGCACGGTGGCTATTGCACAGGTGAGGGGAGCTCTTGACCTTCCCTCACCTGGGCTGTCTGGAGCTAGGGATTTCGTGGTGTTGGCGGGGGTGGTGGGGGCGGAAGTAGTGGGCGGGAGGTGTTTTCGGGTGTGGTGGGCGTATGGTATTGGTGGGCAGGCGGTGGTAGGGGCGTAGTAGTGGGCGGGAGGTGTTGTGGGCGGTGACGGGCCGTGAATGGGCGGGCGGTGTAGCAGTAGTAATGAGAGGGAGGTGTCCGTTAGACGTAGTGGGGCGGGCGGTGTGGGCGGTTGGTGGGCGGGCCCGACCTGGATCGCGTGGTGGCGGGGATCAGCGCCAGTTAACACGTATCTCGCCTGCTGCTGAGGGGATCTAGGGATTGGGGGAGGGGGGGAGGGGGCCATAGGGGAAGGGGGAGAGGGGAAAGGGGCCATAGGGGGTAAGGGGGGAGAGGGGGAAGGGGATTGGGGGAAGGGGGAGAGGGGGGAGGTAATGGGGCTGATGGAGGGGCTAGGGATTGGGGAGGGTAAGGGGGTCATGGGGATAGGGGAGAGGGGTAAGGGGGCTGATGGAGATCTAGGGATGGGGGGAGAAGGGTAAGAGGGGCCATGGGGGAAAAGGGCAGGAGAGGGGGGGCGGAAAGGGAGGGGAAGGGAAAAAGTAGTAGGGGATAGAAGAGTGAAGGATAAGGGAAAGAGAAGCTGATAAGGATAAGGGGGAATGTGGGAAAGGGAGAAGAAATGATAGATGGAAAGGCATGCGAGGAAAAATAAATATAGAAAAGGAGGGAAAGGAGGTCGAAAAGGAAGAGTATGTGTGGAAATAGGATGAGAGGGGGGGGGAGGGGTAGGGGCGACTATGTGTAAGGATTTTATAGAAATTAGAGAGAGAGAGAGAGAAGAGAGAGAGAGAGAGAGAGAGAGAGAGAGAGAGAGAGAGAGAGAGAGAGAGAGAGAAAAGAGAGGAGAAAATCGTTCAGAAAGAGAAACTCAACGAAAGAGTTATTAAACTATAAAAAAAATGAGTGGCTCATTATGCCAATTTGCGATTGTTAGTTAGTGTATAAAGCATTTATTCGCGATTTTTTTCGTATCTGAATGATCAATATCACATTTTTTCAATATCAATATCACATTTTTTCATTGATTTTGCCTTTGACTCCGGTATAGTCAACCGGAACAAATGGCGCAGTATATTTGATTTCATGGTGTGTACATTAAAAAGATGGAGCTCCGTTTTCTATTTTGACAAAATTGAGTTTTCTGTTTGATTGCCGAAGGTCCGTTTTGTCAAAATTCCTTTTTTCTATTCGGTTGCCAGATTCCCGTTTTCTCTTTGGTTGCATGCAGTCCGTTTTCTGTTTTGCTGAGAGAAATACGCAATCTACAGTTTTTTTTTTCTTTTTTTTTCTTCTTTTTTTTAGAATCAGTTCTGTTTTTTACACTCTCGGGATTTCATTTTCTTGTTTTCCGAAATCGACCGCTCTTCTCCGGTACTGTTTTCTTCCATTATTCCGCTTCTCCCTCTTTAAAATAATTCCGCCTTCTAAATTCTCTTTGGCCTTTATTTTTTTTTTTTTTTTTTTTTGGTTCAGTTGTTATTTATTCATTCAATTTTTTTTTCTTTTTTCTTTTGTTTTTTCTTTCATTTTTGCCTTTCACCTTTGGTTCAGTATTTATTTACACTTTTTCTTTCGTATTATTTACACTCTTTCTTTCTTATTATTTACACTTTTTCTTTCTTATTATTTACACTTTTTCTTTCTTATTTTTCTTTTCTTTCTGTTTGGCCTTTTTTCGTCGGACCAATTGTACCTGAACAGATGACGCGGATCTCAAGGTCCATTTCTTTACAGCAAAAAAGAGTTAGGAAAACCTTCTTGCGTACACATGCACTCACGCACACAAATAGATAGAGGTATACGGGTGTAGACATGTAGAAATAGGTGTGTATATGTTTTTTTTTTTTCCTGCCTTACACGCACACAAATAGATACAGGTATACGGGTGTAGACATGTAGAAATAGGTGTGTGTATGTTCTTTTTTCCTGCCTTACACGCACACAAATAGATGGAGGTATACGGGTGTAGACATGTAGAAATAGGTGTGTGTATGTTCCTTTTTTCTGCCCTACACGCACACAAATAGATACAGGTATACGCGTGTAGACATAGATATTGAAACAGGCGTGTATATGTTCGTTTTTTTTGTTTTGTTTTGTTTTTTACTTTTGTTTCAAATATATACATAGATGCGTGTGTAAAATGTAGAGATATAAAAATCGGTTTGTATGTATGTTTTTTATTTTTTTATTTTTTTTTTTCTTATTTTTTCCCCCATTTTTATTCCCTCCGTCTGTGAAGTTGAGGAAAACTTTATCCGGCTTTAATCTGGACCAAGTTCGGGTAAGAATGTTTTCCCTCCGAACTTGATTCCGCCGACAGAAGGAATGTTTTCTCGAGGAGACAAAACATCAGCCGCTTGCGTGTGCGTACGTGTGTGTGTGTATGGGGGGGGGGTGCGTGTGTGTGTGGGGGGGGTGCGTGTGTTGTGTGTGTGTGTGTGGTGTGTGTGTGTGTGTGTGTGTGTGTGTGTGTGTGTGTGTGTGTGTGTGTGTGTGTGTGGTGTTGTGTGTGTGTGTGTGTGTGTGCGCGCGCGCGCGCGTGTGGCGTGGGTGTGAGTGTATGTGCCATGTTGTGTAGTGTGTATGATATACTGTTTGTGTGGGGTGTTATGTTGTTGTGTATGTGGGGGGGAGGGGGGTATGTGCTGTTTCTGTGCGGTGTGGTGTGTGCGTGCGTATGTGCGTGCGAGCGTGCGAGAGGGAGTGCATGTGTGTGTGCGTGTCTGTATCTGGCCAGAGTCTTAAAACGTGAATATTTTGTCCCGTTACCAAAGACGCAGTTGAACAAAACTTTTACCTTTGCCTTCTTATCACGTCCGCCATTAGGGGAAATGTCTGTCCGTACTGAAAGAACATGGGAGGTCATTTCCTATTCCTTGGAGGCATTTACACCGCCACAAAAGCACATTTCTGCTATGCGGGTGGAGGTTTCCCGACTGGAGGAACGTCTCATATACTAAAGGAAAGAAAAATTTTACCATCAATATAGTGCATCCTTCCCGTGAATTTATAATATACTATTATAATAATATACCATCAATGTGAATAATAATATACAAAGTGAATAATATACAAATATACAAAGTGAATAATGATATACCATCAATATACAAATAAATAAATATACAAAGTGAATAATAATATATCATCAGTGCGCATTTTTACCATCAGTATAGAGCATCTTTCCCGTGAATTTATAGCACCTCTACCATGAATGAGGGACATTTTCATCATTAATATAGATTATTAATACCATGTATATAGAGCATTTTCTCCACAAATATAGACCATAACTGCCATGAATATGGAGCATTTCCTTCTTAAATATAGACTATTACTATCATGAATATAGAGCATTTCCTCCTTAAATATGGATTATTACTATCATGGATATAGAGCATTTCCTCCTTCAAAGACGGATATTTCTATTCTTTAAGAGCACAAAAGAGCATTTTCACCTTCATGATACACCATTTGCAACATTGATATAGAAAAAGAGCATTTCCACTACAATAGAGAAGCATTTCCATCAGAAGGGAGGCTTTTTTTCCATCACAGAAGAGGTGGATTCCCATCAAAACGGCGGATCGTTTCCACCACTTCACTTCACTGAGCGTTTCCACCGCCACAGAGGAGCATTTCCACCTCTCCGTTGGGCGTTTCCACCACTTTAGAGAGGGTTGCCACCTCTTCACTGCATGGAGCAGTTCCGCCGCCATGTTGAATGTTTCCGCCACTGTAGAGAGCACTTTTACCGCTTCAGAGGAGTATTTCCAGCACTTCTTTGAGCACTTCCACCACTGTTAAGAACATTTCCACCACTTTTTTTTTAGCATTTTCCACCACTTCATTGAGCATTTCCATCACTTCACAGAGTATTTCTACCACCCCACTGAACTTTTCCACCGCTTCACTGAATATTTCCACCGCTGTAAAGAACATTTCCTCCACCTTATTGAGCATTTCCACCACTATTAAGAACATTTCCTCCACTTCACTGAGCATTCCTGCCACTTCACTGAACTTTTCCACCACTGTAAAGAACATTTCCTCTGCTTTTTTTTTTTTTAGCATTTCCTCCACTTCACTGAACTTTTCCACCACTTCACTGAATATTTCCACCACTGTTAAGAACATTTCCTCCACTTTATTGAGCATTTCCAACACTGTAAAGAACAAAAGACACACATTTCCTTCCACTTTATTGAAGCATTTTCCAACACTGTAAAGAACATTTCCTCCAATTTATTGAGCATTTCCAACACTGTTAAGAACATTTCCACCACCAATTTATTGAGCATTTCCAACACTGTTAAGAACATTTCCACCACTTTATTGAGCATTTCCTACACTGTAAAGAACATTTCCTCCACTTGTTTTTTAGCATTTTCCACCATTTCATTGAGCATTTCCACTTCTACAGAGCAGCATTTCCAGCGCCTCGAAGGAGCGTGAGGAAAGGAGGGAGACGCGAGAGGATCAGGGAAGATTAGGGCAAGAAGACGATACTGGGCGATTGGGCGATTGGAAGGAAGGAGGGAAGCGAAAGAGGGAGAGGGAGTAACAGTGGGGAATAACGCCGGAAGTGGAATAGAGGCAGAGAAGGAGAGCGGGAGAGGAATAGCGAAAGAGGGAGAGGGAGTAACAGGGGGGAATAACGTTGGAGTGTGAATAGAAGTAAAGGAGGAGAAATAGTGGGATAACGCTGAAAGTGGAATAGAGGCAGAGAAGGAAAGCGGGAGAGGAATAGGGGGGGGTGACGCTGAAATTGGAATAGAGGCAGAGAAGGAGAAGTATAGTGGGGATAACGATTATGTGGAATAGAGGCAAAGAAGGATAACGAGAGAGGATTAGGGGTAATGACGCTGAAAGTGGAATAGATGTAAACAAGGGTAACGGGAGAGGAATAGGGGGGGTAATACGCTAAAATTGGAAATAGAGCAGAAAGGAGAAGAATAGTGGGGATAACGATTATGTGGAATAGAGGCAAAGAAGGATAACGAGAGAGGAATAGGGGTAATGGCGCTGAAATTGGAATAGATGTAAAACAATGATAACGGAGAGGAAATAGTGAGGATAACGCTAAAATTAGAATAGAGGCAGAGAAGGAGAAGAATAGTGGGGTTAACGCTGAAAGTGGAATAGAGGCAAAGAAGGATAACGAGAGAGGGATAGGGGTAATGACGCTGAAATTGGAATAGATGTAAACAAGGATAACGGGAGAGGAATAGGGGGGATAACGCTGAACTTGGAATAGAGACAAAGAATGATAACGAGAGAGGAATAGTGAGGATAACGCTGAAAGTGGATTAAGGTAGAGAAGGATAACAGGAGTAAGATGAAAGAGGCTGCAGCGAGACAAAGAAGAGGGGGCGGGGGGGGGGCAAGACTTTAATACGAATGGAAAGAGAATACGAAAGGAGGAGATAAAAAACAAATATATGGATAACGTGAAAAGAAGTAAAACGAGGGTAATACAAATAGGGAAAGAGAAATAAAAGGATAACGCGAGGAACAGGAAGGGAAATGAGATTAAAGAAAGGAAAAGAGGGAAAAAAGAGGAGAAGGAAGGAAAGAAGGGAAGAGAGAGAGAATAGCGCGACGTATGAGAGGAAGCGTGCAGCATAGCAAAGGAAGATGGGAAGAACAGAGAAGAGGAGAATATAGAGGATAATTCGAAAGGAGAAGAAGGACAAAGAGGATAACGTGAAAGGAAAGGATGAAAAAAGGGAAAAAAAAACTTAAAGAAAAGAAAAAGAAAAAGCTGAAGACGGAAAAACAAACAGACACAGACAGACAGACGGATGACACACAAGGGAGCATCGCAGGTGAGAGCCTAAGTTGTTGACACAGTAAATACAAAAGGAGGCGTGGCTATAGTGTCATCATTTCCGGCCGTAATGGAACGAAAACATCGCGTTCTTTATTCATGAGAACAGTTTTCAGCCATCAGAGAACCGGGCGTGAACCCAGGAGAACCGGCAGCTATCTAACCGGAGCCGACGGGAACCAACAGGAGGTGTTTGGATACCGGGGGCTACGTCGAGGGGCCAAAGAGAACCTCCGAGACCGGAAAAGAACCCACCGGCGCGGTAGAGAACCAGAGAGAACCTTCTTTTGCTAATCGTTGGGAATCAGTTATACGGAGTCAGCGAATATCAGAACCAGTTAGAACCTTCGGGGAGTAGGTGGGGGACACGTAGAACAATCGAGAACAAAATGAGAACCGTCTGGAACCAACTAGAACTGGCGAACAGTGAGAACCAAAGCGACCCAACAGACAGGTTACGGTTTTGTGTCGAAGGATAGAAATAGGAATCTTTTTAGGATAGGATACGTCGATAAAAGATTAAGAAATCTCTCCACACAAAAAAAGAAAAGAGAAGGTTTTCTTTGGCATTTGCAGAGGACCGGAGGTGGGGGGGGGGCCGCCGGGCGGGGGGTGGGGGAGAGTGTTTTGCAAAGAGGGATAGAGACGCAAATAGCTCGCGCGTTCTGGCGTGTTGTTTGGTCCACTTGTTGCGTCCGTTCGGTGTTGAAGAAACTTGTGATTAACGAAAAAAATGGAAGGAAAAAAGGTACCCCGTGCTGTGAAAGAAATTAGGCGAGACTAGAGAAACGAAAAAAATAGTAAAGATGAAATAAGTGTATGATGAGAGAAATATTAACAATGAAAAGGAAATGAATTGGGTTGATGAGTATGTAATAAGAATAAGCTCATGATAATAGGAATGAAAAAATACTGGTAAGATCTCTCCTCTTTCTCCACCCTTCCCTCCTCCTTTCCTCCTCTCCTCCTCTCCTCCTCCTCCTCCTCCTCCTCTCCTCCTCCTCCTCCTCCTCCTCCTCCTCCCTCCCTCCCTCCCTTCCTCCCTCCCAAAGGTAAAAGGATAAACTCCCAGCCTTCACTTCTTCTGTTCTCTCCCTTCCCCTCTCCCCTCATATAGCTTCATCTATTCTTCCCTGTCCTCTCTCTCCTATTCGCTCCCCTCATTCATTTTCACCTCCTTTTTCTCTTTCCTCTTCCCTCCTCCTCCACACTTTCCTCATCCACCTTCCTCCCCTTCTTCTGCTTTTTCTTCCTCTCTCTCCCCTCTCCTCCTTCCTCTTTTCATCCTCCCTTTTCTCTTTTCTCTCCTCCTCTTTCTCTCTTTCCCTCTCCTCCTCCCTCTTTCCATTCCTCTCCTCTCCTCCTTCCTCTTTCCATTCCCTCTCCCTCTCCTTCTTCCTCTTTCCATTCCCTCTCCCTCTCCTTCCTCTTTTCATTCTCTTTCCCTCTCCTCCTTCCTCTTTCCCATTCCCTCTCCCTCTCCTCTTCCTTCTTATCTTCCCTCCTCCTTCTCCCCTTATTCCCTCCACCCCCCCCCCCTTCCTCTCCCTACCTCACCCCTCCTGGGAAACCTCGTCGCATAACCGCAAAAATAATAGCCAATAAAAAAAAAAAAAAAAAAAAAAAAAAAAAAAAGAAAAGGAAAAGGTATTGATAGGATCTTGCTTGAAAAATCACACCGAGAGACGCCCTGAAAAATGGAAGCGCAAGCGGGTTTACTGTGGCTGCGGATGATTGCTTTTTTGCAAGCAGGCGAGGAGCAAGCAAGATAAGAAAAGCAGGGTTTGGCGGGGAGGATAATGCGCTTGCGTGATGAGATGAGAAGGAGAAGGAGGAGAAAAGAAAGGAGAAGGAGAAGGAGAAGGAGAAGGAGAGAGAACAAGGAGAAGGAAAGGAAAAGAAGAGAAGGAGAAGGAGAAAGAAGAAGAAGAAGAAGAAGAAGAAGAAGAAGAAGAAGAAAGAAGAAGAAGAAGAAAGAAGAAAGAAGAGAAGA